AATCCACTCAATCTCATCTTTCAAGGTAAATTTTTCTAAACTCTATGTTTCATTGATTTTGAACATAGGACTAGGTTTAATTAGTTCTAGATAGAAATAGTGATCGGGCATTGATTGTTTAGTGATTAGAAACTAGATATTACAACTAATTTCATCAAAAACACAAGAATTTTCAAAATTTGTGAAATTTTCGAAATAAAAAAATTTGTTTGTCAAATTATTGTGTTTTAATTGAATTATGTTGTTGTTATGAAAACTATACATATATTGTTTTTCAAAATCTTATTTTTTAATAGTTTTCAAAAACTTTGCCCATTAGGATTGATTTAGTGAACCTTGAAATATTGAGGACTCAATTGAGTTTTTGGATTGATTGAATTGCATACATGTGTTTTCTAAATTACAGGTTATCCATTCTATTCTGATTTCCTAAATCATGTTCAATCCTAAACGTGCTAGGTCTCATCTAGTCGCTCACACCGTCAACCAAATCCACCTTCAAATCCTCCTCATATTCCTGAAATTCCAATTCCTAATCCTAATCCAGTTGATCCCAATCTAACTATCCAAAATTCATGCTTCAATCATCCTGGTCCTAGGATTCATCTTTTTGGTATTATCAATATTTCGACTCTTACAAAATTAGAGAAGAACGTATCCCTTCTCGTCAAGCTATGTTAGATATTAATTTTAAATATCTTCCTCTTTTACAAGAGTGGAAATTTGATAAACTTTGTGACCTTGAACCTATAGTTTACCATCAACTTGTTCGCATTTTTTATTCTAATGCCGTTTGTGTCAAAAACCGAGCTCAAACTGAGACCATAGAAGTTCGTTCCTATCTCCTAGGAAAATTCTTACATATTAACTCGGCTTACATAGCCAAGGCATTAGGATTAGATAACGATGGTATTTCAAATGAAAAACAAATTTTAGGTTCTCGTTATAAAAGAAGGGATAGTGAGAGTGTCTTAGACCTTCATGAACGTTTTCTTCACCTAATGATTTCTTGGTGGTTTCGACCATCCAGAGGTCGTTATTATGCTCTTAGAGCCTTGGATATTTGATGGTTACATTGTTTCGAAAATAGTATTAAAATAAACCTACCTCAGATCATTTTTGCTGAAATTGTTGAAACCGTAAATCTTGTTCCTAACAAGAAACTCTGTTCATCTCTAGTTTACGGTTGCATTTTGAGTAATCTTTTTACTAAAGTTGGGCTTAGAGTTGGTCTAGATGCCTCCTTTCCTCTAAAGAAACAAATTAATCTTATTTCCTTAACGAGAGCGGGATGTATAAAGGATAAGGAAACCGGTGAATGGGTTCGATCTTCTGAAAATACTCCGGGAGCTAGTTATTCATGAGCTCCACCAGAAGATGACGATGATCCCGAGCTTGAAAAATTAATGCGAGACATCGATGAAGCCGAAGATGAGCCTGAGCAGCCCGAGGAGCAAGCATAACAAACGCATCAAATGCCTCCATATTTTCAATCTTTTATGGAGACATTCGATTTCCGATATGCTACCATGGATTCACGCTTTACTTCTATAGAGTCCCATTTATCCACAATGGGATCTCAACAATTAGAAATCATCCGAGAGATACGGACAAACAACGCTTCGATGAATGAACATATTGATGCATTCTCACATGAAATGGCCGCTATGAGAGCTCGTTTTCCTCCTCCCGATCCGGATGTTTGATTATGTGTTTAGCTTTAGAACTTTGAACTAAAAGATTATTGTTTCAACATTTTGAATATTTTGGAATGTTTGATTTTGAGGATTGTTAGACTTTGGATTTGTTTGGATGTTTGAATTTATATATTTGGTTTTGTTAAATTTATTGCATCATTTACATCATGTTAGATATATGACCAATTTTGCCATGTCACATTGTTTATGAATATTGATTATGAAACTAATGGCTAATGTTTCTCTTTATTGTAATCTTAGCAGCTTAAACTATATATAATCAATTGGCTAAATGATTCCAAAAACCTTGTTTAAAATCTTTTACGAGTCTTTTTGATTTAACAAAAAGGGGGAGAAGTGTTAAATGTTTTAAATGGGAGAAGTATTAAAGTAAGGGGGAGTAATTTTTCAAAAACGTCGTTTTTGATTTCAAAATCTTAAAATTACTAAAATGTTTTGTTATATCAAAAAGGGGAAGATTGTTGAAAACATTTTGATATTTCGATATAACAAATTAAGATAAATGAATTTTAAGATTTTCAATTAAGGTTTTCTAAGTATATTCGATACAATTATTCGAATAACAAAATATTACTCCAAATCTGTCAAATGTTATTTTTTAATCCTTACTCAAGTGTAAAATTAAGTTTTAATCTTAAAATAATTTCAAAACGATTTTACAAAATATTTCGAACCATCTCAAAGCCAAAAATTCCAGATTGCTCAGAGGGAACCGATTCCCCCCCAATGGGGTACTGATTCCCTCCTGAATGGTTTGGCTCCGAGAATTTCAGTATGCTCAGAGGGAAACAATTCCCCCCATGGGGTACCGATTCCCCCTACTGTTCAACGGTCGAAATATTTGAATTTTACACTTAGGGAACTGATTCCCCCTATGGGGTACCGATTCCCCCCACGCTCCAAGTTGTTTTATTAATTGATTTCACACTAAAACGGCTATATTATCTTCATTAATGATCCCCAACGTTCAGAAGTGATTCAAGGTGTATTTAAGCAAGCTTAGAAGCCATTGATCAATAACAAGAAACATCAAGCAACTAGAATCAAGAGAGAATCAAAGAGAAAGCATCAAACCTCAAGTTTGAGCATTTCAAGCCTATTTTTCATTCAATATTTATTTTGCTTTCAAGAAAACTTATTGTGCTCAATTGTATTCATTCTTGAGTGTTCTTTTCTTTGTTCTAGAATTGTGCAAACAATCTACCTTGTGAGGATTTCCTTGTAAGTTTGCAAATTTGTATTGTTCTCTTTGGGAGAGAGTGTTCTCAAGAATTTGGGGTATAATTCTTGAGGGTTTGTAAGGTTACTCTTTTTCCTCAAAAGAAAGACAAATTAGTGAATTTGTGGAAAATCCTTAGTGTGGATAGCTAAGGTAGTGGACGTAGAATTCAGTTGAGAAAGTCGAACCACTCTAAATTGTTGTGCAAATTTCTTTCAATTTTTTGCAAAAGCTTCCACCAAAATTTTAATTGTCAATTCACCCCCCCTCTTGGCCATATTCGTCAATCGATTAACTCAACAATTTTGATATTGCGTTGATATAGATTAATTATTATTCTAAAGAGGAAAAACCCTAGTTGCTCCCTCCCTCCCATCTTTTTTTGTTGTTGCAATTTTTGTTATTTTCTATGGATCGAATCAACTTTTTTCCTTTGATTTTGCTTAGCCGACGGCGACACCAGTTTTGATACTAGTTGTCGCTTTTATTTCTGCCTTTGTGACATATTTATCTCTATCTTTTGGCAATTTTCGATTTTTTGGTTGTTGTTTTCGTTTATCTTTTTTTTATAGGGTTGGATTTTACATCACCACGACTGATCAAGATGTCACTTATTTGTTATCATGTTGATCTTCCCTGCTTTGGACCCTCGGATTGAATTGGATACGCTTTTTGCATTCGTGGATAGTTTTCTCACGTCGCTTGACTTTGATTTGTGATTTGTCTATGGTCTTTCAATAACTTTATCACATTTTGTGATTCGTTTGTTGATGCAGTGATATTTGTTTGTATCATTATTTTTTTCGAGTATTTTAGCTATGTTTTTTAACCTTTTCCTTCTTTGGTCCTTGTGTGATTTAGGTGGCTAGTTTTATGTCAATGGTTATAGGAAAAATGTACTAATTATAATTTGGTTTACGTTTATAGTTATACTTGTAAATCTTTATTGTAATTCTGGATATTTTGTACTTCTAATAAAACTAACGACTTTCTATTAAAAAAATCTAATTGTTTATTTATAATTGATTTAACATTTTTAATATTTTTAAACTAAATATATTGTTTTATATTTTTTAATGATTATATATATGAAATCATTAAAAATAATTTAATATTCAAATTATAATCATAAGAAAAATATTTAAGATTTAAATTTTAAATTTATCTTTCGATTTTAAATTGTGCTTTTGAGTTCGGGTATGTTAAATAAATTTTTCATTTAATTTTGAATATAATGAAATATACATAATCATTAATAAATAAATAAATATAAAATAAATAAATTTAATTTAAAAATATTAAAATCTTAAATTAATTATAAATAATTTATTTTATTTTTATAGCAATTTAAGTGTTATCATATTCTCAATTGGCCTAGATTTAAGTCCTCACTTATCTATTTTTATTTTTATCATTAAATAAAAAAATATTTTAATTAATTCCTAAATATTAGATCTAACCTATTGGTTAAGGCTTTGCTTGGTTACTAATTGATCTTAGGTTCAAATGCAATTAAATTATTTTAGTTTTATTTTTCTGCCTAAACCTGAACAAGTTATATAACATATGTATTATATTGATAACAAGTGTTAGAATTGGCTTAGCGATTAATTCTAAAGTCTAAGAGATTTAATCTGTAGATTTAATACATTACTAGAATAAAATATTTTAAAGTTAATGCTCAAACTTGAACGCCGCTGTGGGAGAGACTCAATTTGCGTTCATTGTTGGAAAGCAGATTGCAGACTACTCCCTCATTGCTAATGAGCTTGTTGATGATCTGAAAAGGCGGAAAGAGAAATCAGTTATTTTTAAAGTAGATTTTCGTTAGGCCTACGACTCTGTAGATTGGAATTGCTTTGATCTCATTATGGGATACATGGGGTTAGGCCTACGACTCTGTAGATTGGAATTGATTTGATCTCATTATGGGATACATGGGGTTCAATGATAGATGGAGGTCATGGATCAGACTCAACATTTCCACGACTTCTATTTCCGTGTTAGTTAATGGCTCTCATCCAGAAAGTTCAAAATAAATAAAGGGCTTTGCCAAGGTTGTCATGTCGTTCAACATAGTTGTTGTAGCTCTCAGTGGCTTAATAAACAAAACGGTGGAGGAGAGATTGTTTAATGGTGTCAGGGTGGGGTCGAGCAGTCTCCGCATCTCCCATATCCAATTTGCAGACGATTTGATTATCTTTTCCGAAGCTGATGAAGAACAAGTGAAAAACATTAAGAGAATTCTCAAGGTCTTCAAGTTAGCCTCCGGGTTGAGGCTCAATTTAAGAAAGTCAAAACTCTATAGGATCAATGTTGAAGACGGTTGTGTCACGGCATGGGCCGAAGGGTTAAAGTGTGACTGGGATAGGCTCCTTTCAGTGTATTTGGGCCTCCCCTTGGGGCAGGCGAGAAATTTTGTGAAACTAAGACAACCCATCATTGATAAAGTGCAAAGTAGACTAGACGGTTGGAAGAGTAAGTTCCTCTCATTTGGGGGAAGAATCACGTTGATCAAGTCAATTCTCGCCTTTATCGGTGTTCTATCTCTCGATGTTCCAAATGACACCTGCTGTGTCCTCCAAGCTAAATAAACTCTTGGCGAACTTCTTGTGGGGAACCTGTAGTGGTAGAGGCATCCATTGGGTTAATTGGAAGATTGTATGTAAGCCTTGGAGGTTTGGGGGACTAGGAGTGGTTGATATGAAAATAAAAGATCAATCTTTGCTAAACAAGTGGCTTTAGAGGTTTGGGACTGAACGTGAGAGCTTATGGAAGAGAGTTTTGATTGCCAAATACGATATGGACCAAGCTGACTTAGTGCCGAGGATAACAAAGCTTCTTGGGTTTGGAGGAAAATCTCACAACCTTTAACCAAGTCCTCTGATTTTTTAAGAACAATATTAGGTGTGTGGTGGGGGATGGTAAATTTTTCCATTTTTTGGAAGATTGTTGGACCGAGGTCCCTTCGTTAAAGGAAGCATTTCCGAGGATCTTTAGTGTGGCTATCGAAAAAGTCCGACAAAGTTGTAAACTTCGGCTATTTTTCGAATGAAGATTGGTCGTGAAATATCGAGATAAGAAAAATATTATTTGAGTGGGAACATGTTGTTTGGTGTGAATTTATGGGAGTGATTAATCGAGATATGAATGGCAATATGCAAATGGATAGGTTAAAGTGGATTGGGTCCTTGGACACTGTTTATTGACCAAAAGACTATTTCTTCTTTGTATCTAATAATGGCTCCTCTCTTGATAACGTTTGGCAGAAAGTGCGGTCAAACTTGGCTTTTTTTGGAAGGCAATCCGAAATCAAATCCCGACCGGTGTTGACCTCGCAAAGTGGGGAATTGCCCGACCTAACAATAATTTTTGCGTACTCTGCTCTCTTGAGGAGGATTCTTTTCCTCATTTGCTGTGTCATTGTCAGGTTACGTGGAGGATCTGGCAACGTTGCTGTCTACTGTGCAATGTAACGTTAGTTGTTCCCGGTTCGTTCCGAGAACTCTTTGAGGTCTGGGAAAGCTAACTGGTAAAGAGATATGCCAAACCAGTGTGGATGACGATGTTCTTTGGTTTTGTTTGTACCATGTGGTTAAGCAGAAATGACATTGTTTTTAACAACAAACATGTCAATAAAGATGGTATCTTTGAACTAGTAATGGTAAGGGTTGTCTATTGGTGCAAAAGTAAGTGGCCTCTTCAATGTCCGTCAATTTTCGAGTTCTCTCAGTGCCCTACTGTCACGACAATACGAGGTAATTAATTATTCTAATTTTTTTGCAGGTTGTTGTTTGTTGGACTCCTGTCTTACTGATATTAGTCCGCTTTAGGTGTGGTGTTTCTTTGCTGGTTTTTTGCTTGTTGAGGTCTGTTCTTGCAAAGTGCACCGCTGGTCTTTTTTATTGCACTGGTTGATAGGGTGTTCGGTTGGGGTATATTGAATTTGAGTGGCATTGGTGCAGAATGATTATGTGTGGGTTGCTTACTGCTATTTAGAATATGTATTTGTAAGCAGGATAGTGTGAACGTCAGATAGTCTCCAAACTTTGATGAGTGAATATTGGCATCTTAAGGTTGGTCAATTGTGAGATGTACCCGGCTAAAATTGGCGTACTCTTTTTCCTCCACCTTGGATTAGGGAAGTTTTTTAGTAAGGCGTCTGTCTCTAGCTTTGTTTTGTATGTGGACTTTCTCTAATACATGCAAAATGCAAGGTGTCAGCGCAACGAATATGTAACTTTACAAAGACTCGCGCCCTAATTATACTAATTTTGTTAACTGTCACGTAAACACTTTCGTTAAGTGTTAATGATAATTTGAAAATAGTGATCATTTCGTGACCAAGCCTAAAGTTGGATGGTCATTTATGTAGTTTACCCTTACTAGAAATACTACCTATGTAACTTTAGGGTACTCCCTGTTTTAGGGGATGGAAAGGGGCTAAAAGAATCGTGGGAAAGAATCCTTAAGTGGGTTCTCCCTGTTTTTAGGGTTAATGCTATATAGTCCTTTAAGTAAGGTGGGTTCCCCATATATCTACCATAACCCCGTGTTTGGGAAAAATTAATGACTTTGTCTTCAAACCAAAGCAGGTTTGTGGGTTCCATTTAAAAAACTGAACATAAAAAACAAGGTCTTAATTTCCGATTTAAGAGAGAAAACCCCATTTTTTATTTAATTATAATATTAAAATATTAAAAGGAAAATACAAAGTGGTCCCTAAAAATATCAAATTTAATTGAGCTGAGCTAACCATACAAGCAACTTGCCAATACTAGCCATATCTTTGCTTCAGTTCCACAGCTGATTTGATATGTTTGTTCATTTCTCTCATGTACCCACACTGAAGCTATTTTGATTCTATAAACCGATTCAAATATAGTATTGTTTTCAAAATTATATTTTAAATTATATCTATTTTTTTTAATTCGAATACGGATTATATTGGATGAAAATATTTTTAGATTTGAATTCGAATACGAATTATATTTGATGAACAATTATTCCTTATATCATTTTCAATTGTTAGATGCCTCTTCTCCATCCAGTTGTATCCATTTAAGATCATTACAAAAGAAAATGAAACATTCCCATACATGTAGGATTTCTAGGGTAGTCTCTTAGATTTCATGATAGGGATGTGCTTTGACTCATCCAATTTTTCATTGCATTTACACTTTTTGAATTATTATATACGGATTATTATATGATATACTTGATGATACAAATTTATATAACTGAAAGAAATTTGTATAAAAAAACTAAATCAGAACCTTATTATTTCAAAGTAGGTCCTTGTTTTACTAAAAGAAGAGCAAGCAAGTCTTCACCTACTAACTTGCCCTCTCATATGGCTAAATCCAGAAGTGCCCTAAATTTCAAGGCAAGATTTGGACTGGCATAAGGTATGCCTTAGTTTTGCTGGCAAAATTAGGGAAGTTTGATCATGAATTTTAGCTGGCATTCACATGTGAAGAACAGCTTCTATCTGTAAACCTCAATTTCATCTATTGCATTTATGCCAATGCTTATCCATTTTGATACACGATAACAATGACATGTATTAATGTCTCAATTAGATCTGTTCAAAAGTCGAATATGACTCGAGTTTTCGATAAAGACTTGTGAATGTGGATTAATTTGATCTCATTTGACTTAACATTTAATCATAGAATATATAAACATTAAATATAAGTTATTTATATATATTTTTTACTAATATATAAACATTAATTTGTATTAATATTTATTTTACTAATAGGTTTGATTTGAAGCAAAGATTATGTCAAAAAAAGAAAGGGAGCTTTTGTATAGCAATAATTGAGCCATTGTGTCTACCAAATGAATAGCATAAAATTTAAGTTCTAAGAAAGGGTGAAACTTCAATTATAATTCAAATTGCCTTTGACATTAAATGATGACATAAATAAATAATTTCAAATTAATGTTATTTTAACGTGAAATCTAGATTTATGGATATAAGTACAATATAGTATATGTTTTAAAATAATTTTCAATCATTTGATATTGAACGCTTGCACCCTCTATATTCATAGTGCTTGAACCCGAGATCTCAAAGAATAACAATAATTCATTTACCACCGAGGTTGATTGATTGGTGTGTATGTGATGTTTTCTATTACTTATGTATGGGTCGATTGATTGAATGTATTAACTTCAAGACAAAGTGTAGTAATTTTCACAAAATCATAATAAGAAACAAATCTGACTTAATCGCACAACTTTGAATTGTTTTTCGTCGTAAAAGACTTCAGAAGACTTATGTTGTAGAGATTATCTCAAAGTTATGATCAAATAAGACTCAAGTTATACATATTTTCTCTAAGTTATGACCGGTTAAGACTCAAATTAGAGATTTTATATATATATATTCTTTTGCATCAGAAGAGTATTTAACAACGACTTGGTTTAGTAAGCACTAGATCCCTTAAGCAAGGTTAGGGGTTCGAATCATGACGATTGTGAATTCAAGTCTCTATGTATGCAAAAAAATCCCCGTTGGGAGACTCACCCACCAAAATCAAGTGTGCGACGTGGAACGGTCCGAATTAGTCAGGATAAAACCTTAGAACGCAGGTCGGTTACAGTCAACAAGGTCCAACCCTTGCAGTTAACTTTTCTCTTCGATTAACTTATATTTTTTAGTTTATCTCCGAAATTCAGTCTTTTTTGGACTAACCATGTCTATCACCATTAGCACCAAGAGAATTTTAAGTGCTAAAAACCCCTTGGGTTATAGCGTCTCATCGAGATTCGAACCCGATCTTAATTCCTCTTAGCAAACCGCCGCTAAGATTTTACACAAAAAAGTTGAATTATGACCAAGCAATTCGTCTTCCTAACAATAAATCAAAACAACCTTCAAATCAAAATCTATTTTTTTTGAAGTAGAAGTGTCATGACTTTTAAAAGAATGGCCGATTGCCACTTCTAATTTCTAAAGAATCGAAGAATGTATCCAAAGTTGCTAAGTGCTACTCAATTCACACGATTAGAATTGAACTTCGTAAAAATCTTTGACTAAATAGAAGTTTAGCTAAGCATGAATTAGATTATGCTTAGCATTTTGATATGAAAAAGAAAAATAAAACAATAAAGACTATGAAAAGAAATTAAACTCTATAGAAATAACCAAGGTAAAAACAAGTTCCAATTTGTCCTCAAAGTTTTAATTTAAGGGGTATTTATACTCAAAAATCCCTAAGAGATAAAATAACTAAAAGATAAAAATATTCAAAATAAAATCCTACATTTAAATCTAAAAGGCTTATGACAAAGATAAAAGTAAAAATATTTAAAACTTGAACTTTACTTCATCTTTTGGATAACATCCAATTATCTCCAAGTGTTTATCTTTAAAATAATTCTAAATCTTAATCTTTAAGATAATGCTCGATCATCTTTTAGAAAATGCCGACTGAACCGTCTTTTAGAAACTGCTGATTGGACCGTCAAAAATCTATCATATCAAACCCAGATGACATCATGCCCTAAGTCATGCTAATGACTCGAGCCACGACTCCCAGAAAAATTATAGACTCTACCTTTTTACTGCCAGTTATGATCAATTAATCCAAATGAAATCTCTACACAAAAATAAATCAAAACAGAAATAAATAAGTAATATCAGATCGGAAACAAGAAACAAATAACAATAGGTGTATACAATATTCAACACTCATCATTATGGGAAATACTTAATCGTCATGTCTGATACATGAATATCATACCCATCTCAACTATGTTTCATTCAACTTTTTTATAAATATCATCTATTTATACATTTTTTTTTTCAGTTTTATTATTCCTCAGAACTAAAAGCCTAAGTTATATTCACCCACTTCATATTTCAACATCATAGATTTTATTTTTTTATTAAATTTACATATATTATTCTCTCAGATTTGAAATCTCAAATAAATTACTGAAGTCTTTAGAGTTAAAATAGAAAGGTTAAATCTCAAAATGTGAAAACTTCATTAATTCTGAAGTATATTTAAAAGCTAATTAAAATGTAATATTTCAACTTTTACTGTTAGAAAAAATTCATATAAATATATGGACTTTACAGAGCTGGAGATTCTGGGGAAACCCCAAACTGAAAAAGGAAAAGTCCTTTATATTTCATTCTTTAGTTTTCATTTTTGGTAATTTTGATTTCTCCGTTTTGTTTTGTTTAGGTAATCTAATTTATTTATGGGTAAACTACATATTTAATCACCCCACTAATTTCCACTGTTTCATTTTGGTCAAAAAACTATTTAAAAAAAATATATTTAACATTATATTTTTATTCTGTTTTTCTCACTCTCAACTATAAAATTAATAGTGATATTGATTTGTTACCATAAGATAATATCACATCATCATTAGAAAAAATAAAAAATTATCATGTCAAAAGTTTTAATTATCTTTTAAAATAAACTTTACTAAAATTGTCTGTTTTGGTGATATTTTTTTTAATGATGACATCTCAATATTATTGTTAAATTTTTAACGATAGGTACCAAAATAAAATAAAGTAATAGTTTAAATATTAAACATGTAGTTGCTCTATTTTTTAACTGTAAAGATATTAAGTGACCAAGATGAAACCGTAAAAATAGGTAGGTGACTAAATAAATAATTTAATCTTTATTTATATTTCATTAAACAATGAAAATGGCACATTACCAATCATCCTTTCTCCTCTATAGGAAACACAATCATTGCTCTCAATCTGAGCTTCTAATTTTATTTTATTTTTTTTGAAAAGATATCTTCATCACCATGACCTCCATGAGTTCATCTCCAGTTATATAAACCCTTTTTCTTCTCCACAAACCCACCATTCCAATGGATCAATCTTCAGCAAGTTCCGTCAATGAATTCTACACTTTCCTCACTCATGGCTTAGATGATCTCGAAAGACTCCATCTCTCTAATCCCTTCATGTCAATCCAATTCCTTCAAAGGGTCCTCTCCCTTCTCAGAACTTCCCATTCCCAGATACTTATACTCGTTCAAAAGCTTCATCTCCCTGTCGGTGATAAGTGGCTTGATGAATACATGGACGAAAGTTCCAAGCTTTGGGAAGCTTGTCATGTTCTTAAATCAGGGGTTTCCGGCATGGAAAACTATTACTCTTCTGGGTTCAACGTCGTTTCTTCTCTCGACAATCATACACACCTTAATCCACATCTTTCCAGACAGGTAATAAACTGGTTAAATTTGTCAGAATTTATACCCTCTTTTTTGTTTTGAAATTCAGGGTGTGGGAAACAGGTGATCAGGGCGATTTCGAGATGCAGGAGAGAAGCCATGGGGTTGGAGGAAGAGAACAGGGCGTTCATGGAGACGAGAATCGAACGACTCTCGTTGAAATTCGACGAGAAAGTTTATATCGAATCGAAGCTGAATGGGTTCAATGGGTTCAGAGGAGTTTTGTACGCAATTAGGAACGTGAGCTCATTGCTGCTGGTGATATTACTCAACGGGGTGGTCCAATCTTGTTGGGAAGGATCGAGCTTTTTCAGAGAGGAGGACGAAGGTTGTTTGTTATTCGGGTCGGGTTTCATGATTTCGACGGCGAGGTTGCGGCGGAGAGTGGCGGAGGAGATAGAGCAGATGAATGGGAAAGGCGGTGGTGGGATGTTGTTGTACGAATTTAGAAGATCGAAGGTGGCGATGGAAGAGATGAGGGGGGAGCTGGAGAGGAGGATTAATGGAGTGGTGGAGTGGGAAACAGAGGTGGGATTGAGGGAGAAAGTGGAGAACTTGAGAGGGTGTTTTGGGGTATTGAGAAGTGGGATTGACAACATTGTAGGGCAGCTTGATGATTTCTTTGATGACATTGTTGAAGGGAGGAAGAAGCTTTTGGATTTTTGCAGTCACAGATAAATGGGGCTGTTTGGGGGAAAAGAAAATTAAAAAGAAAAAATACTATAGGAGATAGAATTTATGACCCTTTCTCTTCTCTTCTCTTCTTCTTCTTTTCATGCATTTATTGTTTCCATCTACCATGGAGATACAATTTTCCTCTTCATGCTTATAACATATATTGTATATGCAGAGGAGCAAAACAGAGTAACTTGGACTTCAGAAATCTTCAAACTATCAACAGTTTAAGAGCAAAATGAACTTATAGGAGTATTTTTCTTGGAGAGCTTCCTCCAAATGTTTTTCCATGTATACCCTGCATTCTAAAAGAGGTGAAAATATTTTTTTTTTGGTTTAATCTTTTTTAAAGTATATTTTTTATTAACAATTTAAGAATTTATTTAAAAGAAGGGTAAAGTACATAAATGGTCGTGTTGCTTTGTTTTCCCGGTCATTAAAAGTTACAAAATAGTCCTTCATCTAAAAGGTATTGCTTTGTTGAGTCCTTCAACTATTAAAAGTTACAAAATGGTCACTCGACTGTTTATATGTTTCAAACTCATCTTTTTTGGCTAAACTTGCAGTCGTTTGAGTTTGACATTAATCTGTTGATTGGGATATGATAAAATATGATCCTATAACCGTTAGTCGTTTGATATTTTAGAATCAAATTTTATCATATCTCAGTCACCATGTTAACGTTCAACTTAGGTGACCATCAATTTTTTAACAAAAAAGGCACGTCTGAAACATATGAATAATCAAATGATCATTTTATAATTTTTAATAGTTGAGAGACCCAACAAGGTAGTACCCTATAATTGGGGATTATTTTATAAATTTTAATAGTCGAATGACTCAATAAAACAATACCTTATAAGAGATCATTTGTGTAATTTACCTTCAAAGAATTATAATATAGCATACTTTTTATAAAATAATATCTAATACACAAAGTGAATAAATTTTAATTTACATAAATTTATCTATTTAATAGTCATATATCTTATTTTAATTTTAAAAGTTACAAGATTCTAGGTTTTGAAGTTCAGAATTCTAAGTAAAATTTTAGATATTAAGATTCAAATGAAGTTATAATTTGTGCATTCTTTATACATACATACATACATACATACATACATACATACATACATACATACATACATACATACATACATACATACATACATACATACATACATACATACATGCATGCATGCATGCATACATACATGCATACATACATACATGCATACATACATACATACATACATGCATACATGCATACATGCATACATGCATACATGCATACATGCATACATGCATACATGCATACATGCATACATGCATACATGCATACATGCATACATACATACATACATACATACATACATGCATACATACATACATGCATACATACATACATGCATACATACATACATGCATACATACATACATGCATACATACATGCATGCATACATCCATGCATGCATGCATCCATGCATACATGCATCCATGCATACATGCATCCATGCATACATGCATCCATGCATACATGCATCCATGCATACATGCATCCATGCATACATGCATCCATGCATACATGCATCCATGCATACATGCATCCATGCATACATGCATCCATGCATACATGCATCCATGCATACATGCATCCATGCATACATGCATACATGCATACATGCATCCATGCATACATGCATACATGCATACATGCATACATGCATATTCGATCTATATTTTGAGTTAACACTCACATTCGACCTAATTTAACACAAATATTAATATTGTTATTATGTAGAATAGAGATCTAATTAAAAAATATATAGAGATATAATAAAATTTTAAGTCAGATTAAAGATATTTCATTCTAAATTTGAATCTAATTTGATTTGAAAAATCCAATTATATTAAATCGAATCAAAATAAATAAATAAAAAGCCGTTGAATTAGAGTCAAATTACGATCCATATATATTAGGGAAATGAATGTAAAAGAATTGCAAGTCTAGGTTGTTGTGGTAAATGACAAAATGATATTATTCTAGAGGTAAAAAGGGGAGTTGGGTTATGATATAGGGGGGGGGAGTGTGAGATTCGCCCATGGCTGTGGGGTTGTTTGATCTTTAGAAAACTATATGATGTCTGATTCAAATGAAAAAGCTTCTGACTTCCAAAACAAAAGAATAAAACCCTTCTCTTCCTTCTTGTTATTCCCTTGTTTGTTTGTTTCTAGGGAATCTTTAAACTAAAAGAAAGAGAAAAATGGGTCATTTTCTGGCACACATGTTCAACTGTGAATCTCATGCTTTTTGTCCCCTGCCGGAAACTCATGCCTTGCCTCCTTCCGAGGGTGTTTTCCTGAAATAAAAACGCACATACAAAAGAAAACAAAGCTTAAAATAATAATGTTTGGGGGAACCTAACAATTATTACATGGCACTCATAAAATCATAGTAACAGCCAAAAGAATATCATTTTTTAAACTCTGCAATGGCTGAGTTGAATATCACGCCAAGCCACCCACCCAAATCATGTTTTCTTCTTGTACTTTCCTTTATAACTAAAGCCTTTTCAGCTTTTGTTTCCTCTTCATTATTATTAGACATTGACAACAATAATTAAAAAAACACAAACTAATCTGCAAGTAATACACATATTTAGTATTTTATATAATATATTTGTTGCTCAACACCTGTACAACATTTTTCTATAATCTATACACTTAAGATACCAAATATGGAACCTAGCCTGACTTGACTTCATGTTGCATTATGAAAATTATTATAGTATTTTAAAATGAGACGACTCTACGATAACTTTTTTTTTAAAAAAAAAGACCAATATGCAGAACTAGTTCAATATGAAAAAATAAATTTGATTACCAATTGAGGGTATGTCAAGTGCAGCATTCAGACCCTTGAGAAACTCTTTCTGCAATTTTCCATGATCCCTCTTCAGCACAGAACCAGTTGTCTTAGCTGCTGTGTAGAGAAGGTCGGCGATTGTCTGGAAATCAGATTATAAACCTCTTAATGTCATAGCCTGAGGGGAAGTTAGGAATTACGACGTTAATGGAACCAGACAGACTGTGAGCCAGCATTTTGGTGACAATAAAATAAAAGAATATGGACTAAGTTCATGATACTGTGAGTTAAACACAAGTATAAAATTTATATTTAATATAATAGGAACCTCTTGTGAATTTTGTTGTTCTATTTTTCATATTTTTAGCAGACATCATCAACTCGATGTCTGATCATATGGTTCTAAAAGATGTCTTAGTCCCTAATAAAACCATTCCAGTTAGCTAACAGGAAGCACAATCCATAAATACAATATGTGCTCCTTTAAGTTGTAACACCTATGAATATTCAAACCACCTCAGAAGTTATGATTATGGATTTAAATAGCGTTCGCGGTCGCGTTTTCGGCCGCGTCGCGTTTATCGCGGTTGCGGATATAACGGATAACATCGCGGTCACTGTAGGTGTCGCAGTCGTGAATTTTTTTAAATTTCGCACAATTTACTCTCAAACATAATAATTATAATGTTAAAGAGTGACTAAAATAGTAACAATCTGAAAGTTTAATGAGTAAATTGAAAAATTTTAAAGTTCAATGAGAAAATAGGAGAGAATAAAAAGTTAAGTGATGATTTATGTAGTTTACCCTAATTAAAAAGAATATAAAGTTAAGTGACCCAAACCACCTCAGTTCAGTCATCTGCCTTCTCTAGCCATCTCCTACCTCCTCCCACTGCTTCATCCTACCATATTCTTTTGCTTCCCCAAACAAATGGAACAAATGGGTTTCACCAGATCGTTATATTAAACCAAAATTCTCTTTTATTCTATGACTTTTCCAATCCACGTAAAATGGAGGCAGCAACCGCTCCAATGCAGTGGTTTCATACTTTCATTTTTCTCCAATTTTTGACTCCTCATCTCCTCCCCTGTTTCCTCTTTGGCCTCCACTCTTTAATAGTTTATTTTCTCACTGACCACGGCTGAAGTTTGATCGATTAAGCACATTTCTTTCTCTTTGGCCTCCCCTGCTTTGCTTTCTTTTTAAGTCACGGTTGAATAACGGGGATAGCGTCTCGTTATCGACACTATTTACCATTAAACGCTAAATTACGACCGCGACAGACCACTATTGGTGTGAATCTGTTACCCACTGCAAAAATCATGAAAATCGATTTCGAACGGTGGCGCTACCACAATATCACGACTGCTATCGCGTTTTCGGTCTGCAATTTGAAACCCTGGTTATGATACCTCTAACTCCTTGAATTAGTCAATTCTACATATGTTATTAGGGTACATAGAACATGTCAGTACATTTGAAAGGACTGATTAATGACAATTCAAGCACATTTGTTACCAATTGGTTCATTTCATTGATATCATGTAAAAAAAGCATGCAGACGGACCCCGAAAACATGCTTTGCCTAAAAGGAAATAAGGCAGAATGTATTTAGAGTTAAGAAGCTGAAAAAAAGAAAGAAATTCAACATAAAATACAAGAATACTGCTTACCAGTTCTCACTCCCCCAGGAGAAATAGCACCATTGTCACCAAATATAGTAGTTCTATTTAGAGTGACATGGCACATCTCACAAACTTTCTCATAGCAATTGCATGTGAAACATAATACAGAGTTGTTATTTATAGAAAGAAGAGCGTAAGAAAGTATGGTAAATGTGCAGGAAATGCACTATGCCTATGAATAATCAAACATATAGGTTTTTCATTTATAGTAATAAATCATATAAAAATTAATCAAACATCTTAAAACTTCACATTCCTGTTGACATATACAGACGGGAGAACTTTTAGCAAATATGGTCAACAAACAATCGGATCATTTCTGTTAGTTGATGTGCTTAGGACTGTTGAATAAACAACTTTAGAGTAAAAGAAGAATGTATTTCATTAAGCTCAAATTACACAGTGTGTATATTGCCTTTTATAGCTCCTAATCACCTAGCTAACAACCATAACAAATTGCATCCACTTGCATAACAACATGAACCGTTTTGTAACAGAAAACTCACTGCAACTTGTAACTAAGCCCTCACACACACGCAATGCACTATGAACATTATTAACTAACATTCTCCCCGCTTTATTCTTCTCATCCTTTTAACACGGTTGAAACGTTATTAACCTCACACACACGCAATGCACTATAGAAATTATTAACTAACATTCTCTCTGCTTTCTTCTTCTCATCCTTTTAACACGGTTGAACATGAACCTTCTCTCGAAACACTTAAAATGATGC